TGTGCCGCAATCCATATTCACTGTGAAGCCCTTCTAGTGCTCATGGGCCCCAGTTCATTCCATGGTTCTGGGCGGTTCCTTCTGTTTCAGCTGACTGACGTCTGCATGAAACAATGCCAGATGCATGCCATGCAGTGCGCTCCAGTGCCTGCAGCTCCGATACACACGGAGAGAGGCCTCAAACTCGGCGCTTCTTGGCCCGAGGATCCAGGGCAGCGTGTTTTAGGTATGGACTCTGTTTTGGAAGGAGAGACCAAATTTGGCACGTCTAGGAGCTAGGACTCTGCACGCTGTTTCTTGTTTCTTTTCACCCTTCCCCCCACCTTCCCACCCCAACAACCACTGAAGGCAAGAGTTCTAACATGAGAGAGAGGCCACGAGTCATGGTGGTTAAGGGACAGGGCTGGCCTTGATCTTACGTCGATTTGACTCCAGAGCCCATACCTGCCTTTGTGCTGAGAGGAGAGGAGAGCCTGGTTTTATCAAGAAGGAAATACATGGTCTTCGCAGTAGCTGCCCAAGTAGGAAAATGGTGGAAGGGAGCCACTGAGCAAGGGCCTAGCTCTTGTTGAAGATGAGTTGTCAGCCTCTCAGTGAGCTAGAGGGAAAGAAGGGGGCTTTCAGGAGAGTTCTGACGAGCCTTCCTGTAGAGGTGAGCCAGGGACGGGGTGGGACAAGCCCTGAGAGGTTGTGCAGGGGGAACCTGTGTACGCCAAGAAGCAGGGGACAGCATACACCAAGGTGGGGGCGCTACCTGGTTAGGGCACCTGCTCTGGGGAAGAGGGTATGGCATCGTGAACTGTGGAGAGGCTGTGAGAACTGTGGACAACCCAGGACTCAGAAAGCCCGAGAGGATGGTCTTGACTTTGGAATCCTGGCTAGCTCATGTCCCAGCAAAGTCACCTGGGGTTATGGCCGAGGGGCGTGTGGACAATGAGTGCGTGGAGACAGGTGAGGCACAGAACAAATCTCCTGACCCCACACCTCCACTTGATTCCCTGTCTCTTGTTTCGACCTCTTAATCTGACCCCAGGCTTCTTCTTCTTTTTTTTATTACACATTTTGAATGGGTAGCACACGTGGTTCAAACACTTCGAATGATAAAAAGTTAATCAGCAAATGCTACTTTTTCCACTCCCGTTCCCTCATTTACCCAGTCCCCATCCTCCTCCAGCTTGTCACCCCTGTTAGTAACATTTTTGGTATTCTCTAGATTTACTTTTAGCCTTAATAGCACTATTTTTCTCCCTTTTCACAAAAGTAGCATTCTGTTCCTTCTGTTTTGCCTCCTGTTTTTTCCCCCTGTTTGTCCAACAGTATTTGGACGTCTTTTAGTGTCAGGATGTACAGAGGTTTTCAAAGATGCATGCTGCTCCTGTGTTTAGATTAGCAGTCCCGCCAGAAGCCCAACAATGTTGTACATCATTTCATATGTATACAGTGTATCTGTAGGGTAAACTCCCGGAAGAACTATTGGCATGAAAGCTATACGTATTTGAAGTTTTGATCTTATCAAATTGACTTCTGATGTAAGTGCTCATAAGTAATTTCTGAGAGCCTAGATCTTAATCCTGCCCCCCTTCAATTTGGGACTCTTCCCCAGGGTATCTACACGTGGGGTTCCTACATCTAATTTAATAGCATGTACAGTATTGCGGTTGCCACCTAGCAGGTGCTGGTCACCCCATTACTAGTTGTCCCTGTCATGGTTGTGGGGAGGGTCAAGGGTTGGCCCTGGGCCAGCCAGCTCCTTGTCACCATTCTCTCCCTGCCCCGCGCTCCACCCTGGCAAAGTTCCTGGGTGTCTCTCAGACCTATCGAGTGTGTCACAGCCAGCCAGTCCTGTGCCCCTCTCCTGCTCTCCCTGCTCAGGCTGGAAAATTCCAGCATGGATTTCAATTCGCAGCATAAATGTTGCCTCTGTGGAAGCGTCCTTTTCCCTCCCTGGCAGAGCCAACCCCTCACTCGCTCTCTGGGTGCCCTCTGCTAGGAAACCTCAGTCTCACCTGGCAGGGTGACTGTTTGTCTTCACCTCACCCAGGACCGGCCCAGCCCAGGCCCACACCTCAAATTCATCTGGGGCTAAAATTAAACTTGCCTGAGAGGCGGGATGGTATGGCAAGGCCACAGGCGTGGGAGGTCAGGCTGGACTGGATTCCATCTGACCCCTTCCCACCTGCCTGCCTTTTCGGTTCCCGGCTCCCCGTCTGTCTTTCAACACGCTGGCCTGTGTGTTCCTGCTCCTGGGCCTGGGCCTGTGTGGTGCCAGCCACCTGGAAGGCTCTTCCTTTAGCTCAGTGGTTCTCAACCTTCCTAGGCTGCGACCCTTTCATACAGTCCCTCATGTTGTGGTGGCCCCCAACCATAAAATTACTTTCGTTGCTACTTCATCACTGCAATTCTGCTACTGTGATGAATCGGGCGACCCCTGTGAAAGGGTTGTTAGACCCCCCAAAAGGGTCGCGACCCACAGGTTGAGAACCGCTGCTCTAGCTCTTTCTCATTTTCCAGCGCTCAGCTTAATTGTCCCTGCCACAGAGAAGCCTTCCTTGCCCCCTTCCCACCTTATTACCCAACCAAATCCCCTACCACCAAGATGACTGACTCATAATGACCCGTGTAGAGCTTCTGAGCCTGTCCGTCTTTCTGTGGGAGGGAGCAGATAGTCTCATCGCTCAGATTCTCCACAATCCTGATGATCATGCTCATTGAGTGGTTTACTTCTTTGCCGATTGTCTCTTGGTGGGACCTGAGCTTCCTTCAGGGCAGAAACTGGTTTGTTCACTGCTATGGGCCCAGGGCTCAAATAGAGCCTGGCACATCCCACGCACAACAAGTACTTATGGCCTAAATGAGGAGCAAACAAATGAACAAGCCTCAAGCCCAGCTCCCCCACTTCACCACCTGTGTTCTCCTGAACGAAGGCTTCCTTCTCTGAACACCAGGCCTTTCAGGGCTGTGGTCTGTACCAGGACTGTGTAAAATGACTGCTATGTGAAGAAGCCCCACAAATGCATCTGTTGCATGTTAAAATGTTCTCTCCTTCAAGGGCAAATGCACCCTTTTTTGTTGGGCTTAAAGAGTTTACTGCCCGCCTTTCAATACTTTCTTACTGAGGGGTAACAATGTGTAAAGTAGACACTTTTTTAATGTATGCTGATTTCACATGTATCTACACCATGTAGCAGATCAAGTAGTACATTCCAACACAAAAGTTCCCATGTTCCCCTTCCCCCACCCCATGACCCCTCCCATTTTTCCTTCTGTTTATCAGAAATACCATACATCCATTCTTCTTTCAAACTATGACCGACTCCTTCCTTCCTTCCCCCATTCCTCTTTTGAGTCTCCACACACCAATCCCATTTATTTACTTAGCTCCCTGGCTCTAGAGTTAACCGCCCCTCTCACCAGAGCACGCACCGGCATTATTCAAGAGAGTTCTTGGCAACCTGCAGACAGTTGGGGCAAGGGTCCACTCTCCAGCTTGCTTGGAGAATCAGCATCAGGGGAGCAGGGAGCCAGAGGTTAAGGAGATGGGGGTGGTAGTCAGGGAGAGAGATCCACTCTTCTCTGGTTGGGAGATCCTTGAGGGCCCACAGAAATCTAATCCAACTTTTATTTCCTTACAGACCTTTAAATCACAGTGGCAGGAAGGGCTGAGCTAGGAGTCAGATGAAGCCATCTGTGTCAGCGTGCTAGGTGACCTGGCATGAACCACTGAGTTTTTGGTCTCTACTTCCTCATCTAAAACATGAAGGTTAGCTGTGAGGTCTAAATAAGAGGCACCGGTCTTCAAACTTTCTAAATTGTAAAGTGGTGGGCAAATACCAGCTGGGGGCCACTGAATGAAGGAATAGTCCAGGGTCCGAAAGTGTAGCCGGGCTCCCTGAAGTAATCATGCTGCTGCTGGAGATGATGTAGTATAAGATAGCTGTAATCACAGCTAACACTTCTCTAAGCTAACAGTCTGCCAGACTGTCCCAGGTGCTTTCCATCTAAACTCACTACATTTTTACAGCTCTGACTGAGTCCCATTACCGTTTCTTTACACATGAAGACATTGAAGTGACTTGCCTAAGTTATAGATTAGGAAGTGGCCAAGGCCACCTTTGACTGGTGCCCCATACTGAAGTCTGAACACTCAGGCTCTGTGTTCCCTGCTTTCTCTCATTGAATCCTGAGGTGTTAATGTGATAATCACTTTAACAAAAGAAAGACGCTCTCTCCCCTTACGCTCCTGCCTCCTTTCCCCTGCATTTATTTTCATGTAAGTCCACATACTTCTGCCATCCTCTCCTCACTTTGTCTTATTTTCCTTCAAAGGGCATTTATTACTTTCTGGATTTTTATTTACACCGGGTGTGGGTGTGCGGGCGTGTGTACGCGCACTCACACGCGAGCACACCACTCACTAGACAACAGGCCATTTGATTGATTTCTCAATACTTAAGGCAATTGTGTACATGTTGAGACAATGCCAAACTTCCCTCTTATATCAAGACAGGTTTTCAGATGTCTTGGACCAAATTGGCTGACAGTCTTTTAAGTTAACTTTTTGTCCATCTGATGGGAAGCAATGCATGCACCCCCAATCTGCAGATGAGAAAACTGAGGCTTAGAAAGACTTGGTGGCTTTCCTTCAACCAACGTGTCAGACTCCGGAGAGGACAAGCCCAAGCTGGACAATATGCTCTGCTCCGTGAATCCTTGAGGCCGTCTGGTCACGACAGACCGTCGCGAAGCTGACCCAGCCCCAACAAGTCGCCGGCCGCCCACCGGGCCCCAGCTTTGCAGTGTTACCAGCTTCGAAATGGCGTCCGCAGGGAGCGCGAGGCCACGGCCCGCCCCTAGGAGGCGGGCCTGAGTTCAGGCCAGAGCAATAGATGCCCGAGTCAAGCTCGACGTCGCCTGCCTGCAGGGCTCGCCGAGGCCGCGAGCCGGTGGCGCCGCAGGTCGGGAGGAAGAGCACCGAACGGAGGGCTCGCTTGCCGGGGCCGCCCGAGAGTCTCTTCATCGCGGGCGCTGGGGCCGCCATTTTAGATGGAGGGAGTAAGACGAGAACGAGTGTGAGGCGGGAAGGCGTCTTGCGGTTCTCCTTGGGCCCCACAGCGGGCCAGTTGGCTTTGGGGTGTGGAGCTCGAGGCGCGAGTGGAACGATGCGGTGGCTGCCCGGGACTCCGTCTCCCGGGCTGGGGACGCGTCGAATGTGACCGCCTCCCGCTCCCTCACCCGCCGCGGGGAGGAGGAGCGGACTAGACGCCGCCGCCGCCGCCGCCGTTGGACAGGACACTGGGTCGGCCCGGCTCCCTCAGGTAGGCGGCGGGGCCGAGTCCTGGGAAGCCGGGCGGCGGGGCTGAAGGGCCGGACTCGCTGGTGCCCGGGCCTGGGCGGCGCTGACGGAGCAGCCCCGGGGGCTGCGGGGCGAAGGGCCCTGGGCAGTCCGCTGTCACTCGGGGTGGCATTAGGCGGCCGAGGGGCTCGGGGCCCAGTGTCATGGCCGGTGAGCCAAGGTCCCACATCCCACATCCCACGCAAATTTCCTTGCGTTTCGGGGGAATGTGCCAGCGCCGCCCCAGTGCCCAGTGGACACTCCTCATATTTTGGCAACAGGAGAACCCGCCCAGAAATGCCCCGTATCGGTGTTGTCATTCGGATGAGCGAATTCCTTTTTAAAAATGTTTTCCCCCTTTGGCCGCGGGGTGGGGTACCCAGGCCTGCACCTTCACCTAAGCGAGACCCTTGTAGGGAAGACGAGAGGAGGAAATGGGGCAGCGCCCCATCACAAAGGCATAGGGGCCCGGCCTTGGGTTTCAGGACTGCGGGTTACTAATGAGAGGTTGAGGGCGCTTAGGCCGAGCAGGGCCCCGGGATGGGTCGGGGTGAAGATGCAGGGCTGTCTGGGGTGAAGTGCGAGCCGCTAGGACGCTGCTGCAGCTCCGCCGTGGCGGGGGCTCTGCAGAGCTGGTCACTGCCCAGAGAGGGGAGGCGGTGTTCATTCATTGTTCTTTTTCCAGGGGCTGGCTATGCCCACGGCGATCCTTCTCAGGTGGAAGGAATCATAGGATCGCGTACGTCTCCTTGAGACGTGGCCGCGTCCTAGGGGTTGTTTAACCTAAGTAGGGGATGGATTCTCACGTTCAGTGAGCCTGTCGGCCTGTCTAGCCTGCTGGGGAGAGAGTCGGCCCCGCCAGCTCGCCCGAGAAGGGGAAACCAGGCGATGTGCCAAAGATTGGCTCGCGAAGCGCTGTGGGAACTGAGAGCGAGCACCTCGTTTTTGCCTAGCCGCCTTAGGGGGCCGGGTCCTCTATGCGCCGGGCTTGGAAGAACTGATGAGTAAGTGCTGCCAGGTGAGGAGGGAGGGGGCAGAAAAGCTCGTAAAGAGGGAAGGAAGCGCTGGTTGGAGGCTTGCAAGATTTGAGAGGAGGTCGGGGAGCCACAAAGTCGGGGGCGCAGAGAAATAGAGTCCAAAAGAAAAGTTGCTCTATGGTTAAGGCCTTTTATATCTTTGAAGATAATGGTCAGTTAGTCCCATGGGATCTGCCCCATGGTTTGCTTTGGTTTTAGTTAATGAATTAGTTGATCTGATTTGGGTTCTTCTGAAGTAGGGTTGCAGATTTTCCACTCTTGCTGATACCTAATCATCCCCTCCCGATTTTGCTGTGTTTTAGGTGAATGTTTACGTGGCAAATTAATTTTCTGTTTCGATATTTCATGCACAGCCTGTTAAGTGACTCTCACCATTTCCAGCCTATACTGTTCCATTGCTCCAGTTTCCTTGCCCTCCTTGCTGCCTCACTTTTGCGTTTGTGAAAGTGTGACCAGTGTGATATTGCATAGTTGATTATTCTAAGGAGCATATTTCTCCTGGGTTTTACTGTTCATTTTGTAGGCCACTCTATCATTTGTCTAAAAGGTGACCCCTGGGAGGGGCTTCAGTTCCAGTGAAAAGAGTGATAGTGTCAGGGGTTCCTCCAGTCTCAAGTCTGGTCTTTTTCTTTGATGATTTGAGCTTTGTTCTACATTCTCTCTCTGCCCCCCCCCCCCCAATTCTAAGTGGGGCCTTCTGTTGTATACCTGGTCAAAGTGATTCTAGTTCTTCTGGTTTCAGGCTAGAGGAGACTTGTGAGCCATTAGGCCTGTGTACTCTTGAGGAAGTACCGTGTACTTCCCTCAGTCTCCTTTGCTTCATATAGGAAGAGACCAATAGTTGTCTTGCAAAAATTTAACCCAGATGCTATTCACCAAACTAGGATGACGAACACTATCTTTATGAATTGTTCTTATCCTAATTGACCTGTATGTGTTCCATGACATTTTGACCCTTTACCTTCAAGCCAAAATCTCAGTCCCATAGTGTGTTTGGATATGCCTAAGAGGTTTTTCCATAATATGTCCCTGTGCACACAGTCTCTCTCTATGACTATGTATGCACCAATACTTCTATACAAATGACCACAACTATACCTATATGTGATATCATTAACTGTAGCTGTCTTTATTCTTGTTAAGATGATAGTAATAGAAAAGATTTACTTTGGTAAACCCAGTTAGGAACATTTTTAAAGTGTTATAGATTAAATGTCTTGTATTTATACAATGGTGACTGGACTGAACCCAAATTCCTAAGGATGCTTGCAAAAGATTCTTCTGAAGTATGCTTGCTGACAAAATGTTGACTTCGTAGTCGTGCATTTTGCTAATTCTCAGTTTTAAATGGCTTGATAATATAAACTATACTCCCCAGCCATATAGAAAATGACAGATTTTATAAAGCACCTGAGAATGTAGTAAGCTAATGACTTCAGATTAATAAATATTTTATGTAATAAAATGTTTCTTTGGGTAGATTCCCAGATCCCAATTATTATATGACGTCTTTAACTATTTGTGCATGTTACCTGAAATAGCTATATGTTTCGATTAATGATAATGCTAAAGTGATTATTAAAATATTAACAGACTTCAACTGGCAGTTCCTAAATCTTGGGTTGTGATGACTATGTACCACTGAAGAATATTAAGATTCTTTTGTCTGGTTTTCACTCTTATCGCTTCAAGGGCTAAGCTGTTTAAAATGCAACAGAAACATTTGACCCAGTTGAACATTGGATACTTGGGAAAATAAACCTGTTACTGTTTATATTAAAAAAGCTGATCTCTTAGGTATGCTTATGATTGTAAATTTGCAGTGAAGTTGCTTAGTCTTATTATGCTTTTGTCACAGTTGAAAACAAAGTTATATGTTTTTCAAAGTAGAAGGCTTGAGTGAAATACATTTCAACATATTTTATGGAGTTTGTCTTAATTGAAAGACTTCAGTGAGAAGCTGATTAAGCTGGTCATTAAGAAGTATCCAAAAGATTATGGTGAATGACTAAATCTCAAGTATCTTAGAATTACTCTGAAACTAGTTGCTTTTAGGATAAAACATGTCATTTGTGAGTTCCAAAGTAGGTGATTTGCTTAGAAGATTAAGCAGTGGCAACAGTGTCATCTCTCTTTGAAGTGAATTTTTACTTTTTCAGAGCACTAGCTTATTTATTAAATGGACAATATAATTAATATCTTAGAATTACTATTAATAGATATGTGCTGCTACTACATCTCAAATACCTATATGTAACTAGTTGCCTAAAAATAGAAATGTTACATGGAGTACTCTTGTTTGCATGTTAAGAACATATATAAGACATACATAATAATTCTGATTTTGTGAGGCATTTGTTGGCCCAACAGCATGCCTTAATGTTGACTTGCAAAGAGAATTTTAAATACTGCCTTTGAAAGGCAGTGGACTAACATGATAGTGGGGGTGCTATGAAATCACAAAAATGAAGCATGACTTGAAAGGTTTTTCTTTTTAAAATTTGTGCAGCTCACGAAAGTCATTTCTTGAAAACAAAAACAGAAAACAAAAAAAAAGTTGAAAAAAGAGCTCACCTTGACTATATGGATGGATAAGAGATTCATATTACTCATCTGACAGGGTTCAAATAAACTAGTATGGGGCTTGGCTACTTTGCCTATAATCTCTATGATAGTCAAATCTAGGAGTTTATTTTTGCTTTAAAGTTGTGAATAAAGTTCCTAATTACATTTTTT